TTTCTGAATATAACAGCTTTACAAAATGCAGCACTTTGATGCACCCTTGGCATAAAAAGGGAAGAAAGCAATTGTACTCTCTAAATATTGTTTTTTTTTTCCTGAGAGGTTAGACAGCAGTTTACTTAATATATAGCTAGTACTGCTTATTTCAAGGCAGGGATGTAAATGATAGCATTTTTCCATTCTGTTACTGGAGGAATATTTATATAACCACACTTTCTTTTGTTGTTTCTGTAGTCCATGCCAAAGAGTAGAATTGAACTGATACTGCAAACGTAGCTTAATGTGAATGTATTCACCTGAGTGCTTAAACCTTTCTACCTCTCATACCTGCTATAGTTGCTTGAAGTGGTATTCAGTTCTTTTGGCTGTTACATGCAATATCTGTAAAAGCTTAAATTCTATTTTCACAGATAGCATAAGGATTTAGGACTTAACTTCCTTGGATTTTTAAATTCAGTTCCTTGTTCCTAGAAAATGGACATAGAAACCCGAAGGCAGTGAGATTAGCTGTTTAGATTAGTCAAATAATGCTTATTTATTATTTCACCAAAAACAGCCAGCAATGGTGGTTCTTTAGACGTGGAAGTTTGTGTTACTCCTAATATTGTATATCATAGGGGTGGTAGATAGCACTGAGCAAGTATTAGAAGGGCTGTAGCAGTCATTGCCAGCACTCCCCATGGGCAAGGAGCTGCAAGGCATAGCTTTAGCTTCCCTACTGCCTGGGGAGTCTTCCTGTTAGAATTTTTCTGCCTGGTTTGAAAGTCATAGAAAATGACACTTTAGTGGTGATGGTGTTTATCAAGGAGATAAAGTACCTGGCAGTGAGAGCGATTGGCCAAAATAGCTTGTATTACTTGTTATGGTGGGAACGCAATGTGAGGTATTTTTGTTCCTCTTTTCCACCTGTCTATGGTGTAAAGAGATGCCCTGCCAGGAGGTAGGAATGAAGATCCATCATTGCTGTTGCCTCCTTGGATGATTTCTTACATAAGTGGATATATGACCTTGTGGTGAAAGTCGTTATTTTCCACTCCTTTCCCTCCAGATTTGTGCATGTTTGACTCCAGTTTGTGTACAGCTTCTGAATGCTATTTAGGAGCTGCAATTTCTCTTACATTCTATGGCAGACTTTTCCATTTGTTAGAGAAATAAAAAGCACTTCAGCTTTTTGCTATTCTCATTTGGAAACCTCAAGGTTTGGTGCCAAGCCCTTCCTTTTACACAAACCAGGCCTGATTTGGCTGACACATTGCTCTAAAAGATTACCAAGATTGGTGCCAGCATTCCCTTAAGCAACCTGGTGGAATCAGATGAGTGGGATGATAATCCATAGATTTACAGCAGGGAGATGTTTGAAAATCCTGTCATGGTATACGGCATAACACGGAACAGAGCACTTCACTCATTCAGTCCCACAGCAGAAGGAATTATTTTTTTTCTTGTTTAACACTGCAAAGTGCAACAGTTTGTGTCTGAGATACAGCACATCCTCCTGTAGCACACTGGATCTTGATGTTGATTAACCACTGCAATAATTTAAATCCTCATTGTTCAATGTGGTCACCATTTGGTTTCTAAAGATGCTGACAGTCTCCTCAAATGAATGTTTTTTAGGAGATGTAAGCAGTTCTTTGGTGAATGACTACAAGACCACTGCAGTGGGACCACATCCACGGTAAATTGGTGCCACTAGAGATTTTTCTCAAATGATCCCTGAATACAACTACTGCTCTTTTTCAGCTTTCTTGAGAAATGAATATATCATGATCTAAAGTGTGCTGCTAAAAGGTTTTTGCAGGTTTACAAAGAAAAGTAATAATCTAGTTCCACTGACATCTCCTTCCCATGAATCCTTTCTTCTCTAAAAACATTCTTGGAAACATTAGAGTTTTATTGCCACCAGGCTAATCAGGCCTTGTTTCTTGTATCGCTTCCTACCAGGAACAAGGACAGCTAAAGGGGGTAGAGTACTGTAAGTCAGAATAAAAATAGATAATGAGAACTGTTAGTATTCTTCCTGTGAGGGATTTCGGCATTCAGGCTGTGACGTGAGGGATCCAGTGTGGCTGAGCCTGGGCTGGCAGTGCTAATTCCAGATTCAGCCTCAGCTTGGAACACTCAGGTTTTCATAATTTGTTTTTGAGGTCTCCAGATTTTGACAATTTGTTTAACTGCTGAAAGTAGGATTGGGACAGATCTTTAGCTGGTGTACACAGCTTAGCTTTGTAAGCCTTGCTGGAGCCGTGCCAGTCCACACAAGCTGAGGGTAGAGCTTGCTCTGTTTTGAATATTGTTTTTCATGCTTTGTATGCTCTTCTGTGGTGTAATGAGTGCTGATTTGGAACATTAATTGCATGCATTTGACAGAAACAGAATTGGAGTTAAATTTATTGTTGTTTTGATACAGTCTCAAAGGGGGAACTTTATACTAGTATAATTTTAATGCAAGCATTTGTAAACACCTGGCAAATAGAAATTGAAAGTCCAATCCTTTTGCTAATGGAGTCATTGACAGTGTTTCCTTTGGCTTTAGTAGGGAGCTGGACTGGGTTCAGTGTAAGTGGTGTACTCAAGTATAACTGATAGCAAGTGTGTTTTATATATTGATGCTTTTTGCTGGACAGTGCATTGGCTTTTTATGATTTGTTGATATATACAAATAAACTATTTGAAAAGTTAGTATTTCTGTGCCTGTTTTTTTTGAAGGTGAATTGAAATTTGTTAAAAAAAAAATAAATATGGAGGCACCCTGGTTAGTGCACTCATTCCCTGGAATCTCCTTGCTGCAGCTCCCATGGTCAAGGACATGACCAATCTCCTAAACTGAGCCCTTCCACCATCTTCCAGCAGTGAACTCTAATGCTACAGAAAGCAAGGAGAAGATAATCCAGTGTCAGGGTGTTGCTGAAGGTCAGCTTGTTAACAAGTGTACAGGGCTACTGCAGGTTGCATGGGGGGTTCATTTTCTAATTGTCAACTCACTAATTCCTGTAACAGCAGCCTTTCTTTCCAGAAGTGAGACTAAATAATCCCAACAGCCACTGTGGAGAAAGAAATAGAGAAAGGAGTCCACTCCATTATCTCCTCAGTTATTTCTTAGGGTAGTTGCAATGTGTTTTTTTTTTTTTTTTTTTTTTTTTTTTTTGTAGCCACATGCTGTTGACCTTCTGCTTACTTTGAAGTGGTGAAAGGCAGAAACAACTGAAAATGCTGCCACAGACTGCTTGCACTCCTTGTTTCCAGACTCAGTGTTGGAGAGGTGAAGTAATAGAGTAGAACTAGGAGCAGACTTTGGGGCTGTAAATGTGAATGCAAAGTGTGTTAGAGGTTAATGCAAAAAAAAAAAAAAAAAAAAAAAAAATCAAATATCATATAACTGTGTGCTTTTCTACCTCCTTGTAATCATTTGGGTATGGCTATGCCAGCTAGTGCAATCAGGTGGTGCTGATGGGGTGAGCCTGCCTGAAGAAGGTGCTGGCAGCTGCCTTCTGTTTTTGCTGCAGGAATGTGCTGCACACTGTCAAAACAACACTACCTTCTGCTGATTCCTGCTATGCATGAATTTAACTCCCATTGCATAGGGGATAATAGGGAGCACTTCTGTGTATGAAAACAGGCCTAAGGGCAGAACTCTGTGCTCTCTTCTGTCCCTTGGGTTCTTGCCAATCCAGACACTGCTCATGGCAAGCTTGCTTTCTTGCAGCCTTCTTCAAAACTTGCTGTGAAAGTATGTCCCTCCTCTCTGCAATTTGAGGCAACAACAACAACAAAAAAACATTTCCAAGCTAGACTAGACAATTGCTCAGATAGCTGGCTTTTAGTTAGTCTTCATGTTGGCACCACAGTGAATTCCTGTGAACGCTTCTGATTATTTATTACAAACTGTGTAGTCCCTCTCCTTTTGTTTTCCACTTTATAAAGCAATTCTCAGGAGACATACTGGAGGAAAACATTACCCAGCACAGCCTGCAAGGGAAACAGTAACCAACACAACCCAATCTGTATAAATTCAGAGGTCATCTCCTTCAAACTCACCAAGGTGTCACACCTAAGAAAGCAGTGTTGAGCAAGAGCAAGGAGAAATCCTATCCAGCTCACAGCAGTGTGCATAGATGTGTGATGGATAAAGAGCAGAGCGTGAGAAGGGTGCTGTGTGTAATGGTTGGAGGGGACAAGTGCTTCACTGTGAGGAGAAAATAAAACAGGTAAGTCTACAGTGGAGTTGTGCACTGGTAATTAATGGCAGGCCCAGAGGTCATGATTTTTACTTCTATTTCCATTCTGGCTATTGACTTGCTTCATTCACTTGCACAGAGGCACTGGCTTTCTCAGCTGCAGATTCTTCAGCTGTAAAAGGTCACTGCTCTCCCAAGGACAGATCTTAGCTTTTGTTTCTGGCTCTTTGGTGGTACTCTACAATGCATTATTTTGGCTCTCTGCATTTTGCCAAATACCTGACTGGACTGCAGCAAAGAATCCTGGCCCAGGAAGCTTCCCAAAAACTTCGGGAGGCTGCAGGCAACTCAAGCGCTGATATTGCCTGTACCCAAAGCTGTACCAGCCAGAGCTAGGAATAGCTGTTCCCCTGCTTAATTTCCCTTGACAACCTGGATGTGATAGCCATTCTCAGGGTGGGCCTCTCACACTGATAAACTTGGACACAGCGAGGTCAGCGTGGTTATTTTCCACCTCAAGCATGGCTAGAAGAAGGTGGGCCCCATGCATATGAACATGCATATGAATTTCCTATCATCTCTTGCAGTCCTAAAAAGAGTTCCTGGTTAATTTTATCCCTTTGTTTTTTTTTTTTTTTTCAAGTTACTGAAACCAGGTGAAAGCACACAAGAGGTTTGTGGTACTGTTCTCCTTCTCAAAGTGACCCAGCTCCTGTCAAGCCAGACCTTGCCTTTCTATATTGCAATATACCACAGCTTGCAGTGTAGGAACTGACTCTTCAGGGAAAGCTTTCCCACCATAGATTCACCAGAACATAAGTTTAAAGCTGCTTCTTTATTATCCCAACAGTGGGGTGAGTGGAGGGAAGGCAGGGAAGCCGCAGGGGACTTATCCTGTGAGCTGGGGTGCATGAGTCTTTTGCATAGAGTCACTGAGCCAAATGCTCCTGCAGTGCCCTCTGTGTTCCAGACCAGCAGCTCCCCAGGTGCAATTGCTTCTGCCTTCACAGCATGAGAATATCTGCCCAAGTCAGTTCTTAATAGCTACAAATATATATATTTTTTTGGTACTCGTTATTTGTCAACTTGCCACTCTGCTCTGTGTGAAGGCTCTGTAATTGGTTTTCTTCTACCTTCTGTCTGGTTTAAATTTTTGGGCTGCCTGGATAAGCTTGCTTTTTTTTTTTTTTTTGAAAGTCAATTAGGAATAAAGCTTTTTCTTTTTGATGCATTACTGAGGTGGAGGAGTTAAAGCCAAGGTCTTGTGGGCATCTCTTCCCTCTTCTCCACAGTTTTCTTTCTTCAGCTTTTATGGGCTCTGCTGTCACCATCACCCTTATACATGTATCAAGTATTACTTGACAAGAACCTAGGGCCTGGAAAATAATCATGCTGTTTCTGTCTATGGTTGACTTCATCTTGAAGGTCTTTTCCAACCTGAGCAATTCTGTGATTCTAAGAACAAAACATAGCTGAAGCTCATAAGATTGCATATGCTTGGTTCCCTCCAGAGAGGTGCACTGTATGGTACTACAACAGAGGATAACAGGGCTTTGACCAAACACCTTCATGAACAGTCTATAATACCCTTAAGCATGCAGGCATAAATGTGAAAGCTTCCACTGAAGATAAACACAACCATAAATTTTGGGTTTATGAATGGAATCAAACCTAGAGGATTAAGTTCTGATTTGGTAATTAACTTGGGATTCAATGCTGCTCTGTATTGTGTTAGGCAATTGCACTGTTTAGTATTTAAATGAGTTTTCATGTTATTTTTCACACCTAGGAGTCAAGTGAAACATTAAAAAACTGCTTTTGCCCACGGGGGGGAGGGAGCATAAAGGGAAATGAGAAAACCATTTGCTGATATTCTACTAGCAGTCATTTCAGGTATATAAATATAGCAGCTTGCCAAGACTTTGGCCACCAGAGCAGTGTTTGTGCAGTAGTTCAGCTTTATGTTAAATTTTGCGGACTAGTTCTTAGGAGGCTTGAGGAGAAAAATGGTTTGGTATTTAATTCTTTGACCTGAGACTCAGGAGACTTCTTTCAATGTGCTTCTGCATGCACAGGTCAATAAATTTCTCTCTGGCCTTGCTCCTCATAGCAGCAGTTCATAATCTCTTCGGGGGACAAAATTCAGACCCTCGTTTGCTGTTAAGGATAATGGAGCATCAGATTGGTGGGACAGTAGTGCTACTACTATCATTCAGAAATATTAAATAAAAAAAAAAAAGTAGATACTAGAAAGTGCACAAAATGGGTGGTGTTTTTTTTTTTTTTTTTTTTTTTTGCTCTTCAAGGTGGATGCTCATGTGTTCCTTAAATGTGGGCTGGGACATTCACTCTGACATGTGGTGGTTATCAGTGCTGCCTTCCTGCAAATGGAGGACATCGCTACTACCTTGTAAACCAAGTCCAGCATTTATGAGCAATGTGTCTTATCTGAAGAAAGAAGATAACAAGTCGGGATTGAAACTCCTCCAGGACTTTGGTATCTTGTTTCATGCTGGCGTAGAAGAGACTTGCAGCCAGGATCAGTACCACACAGAATGATAGCCCCAGGAGCATAGGCAATCCAGGTGATGACCTGTCATGTACTAGAAACAGGTAAGAAGGAAACAGAAAGCAGCATTATTTCAGCATTATTACACTTCCCAAATGTGATGCCCTACTGATGCCATTGCCCCCCTTTTCTGGGAACAACAGGGTACATGGGGCCCTGGCATTGAGTCCTTCTGTAGGCATTAGTTAAGTGATAGAGGGTTATGCTCCTGATGCAGGCTGGTGAGTATAAAAGATCTAATGGTGCGTTTAAAGAGTTTAATTATATACAATAAGAAAAGGATTACCATAGCTAATGCATAATCTCAAATTTCCTTCCAGCAATTATTTTTTTTATGCCTTTAAGCTAAATGTTAGGTTAAATACTAGGAGAATATTAAGCTATCTCACCTAATTATTTAATGCTCACAAATGTTCAGTGAAAAGAGAGGGTCTAGATTTCTGTCTTTTTCTCTTGTTATTTGGGCTGTTTTGTATCCCTGCTAATTACAGTAAGAGCTGAGAAGAGGCTCTATTTGGTGAGAAGCACACTCAAAGTCTGGCAGGCTTAACCTCTCTGTAAATGCTAGGTGTACTAATTATACTGGAAATCCTCAGCATTTGCTCTTAAATGGAAGGATACTGTAAACATTTTTCTTGCCTGTTAAAATATAATTCAGAGATGTTTAAAGTGCTGTAGGTCAGATATAGTACATGTGTGGAAATCAATGGGCTACGTTTAGCTTGCTGATGCTCACAAAGCTCTTTAGAGATGCCTCAGCTCTTATGTATGTATCCAGTTTGATTCAAGTCAGGTAGCTCTGTTTGACTGTGTGGTCATTGCACCATTAGTATTATTTTATAAAGCACTTTGATAATAAACATACAGCATAAAACCAAATTCATGCCTGAATAGAAACTCGGAATGTGCAGCTATTTTCCTGCCATATGCACATAATCAATAAGAAGATAAAACTTGTGGATTATTATGGCTAAAGAACCAGCATTAGCTATAACATATTTAAATTAGCTTCTACTACCAGCCCTGGTATACACAGCAGTCCATTAAATTGTCATTCAGATGTACAGAGAGGAAGGTAAAAGTCATAAAACCAAGCAGAAACACATAACAATATATCAAAAAGTGTATTGGGAAAAGGTAAAATGTTAATAGGCAGTCATTTTATAGCTTCTAGAAACCAAATCAATGTCCCATAGTAGACCTGAGTGAATTATTTGCAGCAAATAATGTATTCATTTGAATTTTGCCTTTCTTTCTATTTTGCAAATTATCCATAACAGTCCTCAATTTTTATAAATTAGATTATTTGGTATTATTCTATGGATGGTTTATATGGAAGTGTTTGGCCAGGAAGACTGTGATGAATGGTGTCCTGTGGGGATCCATCTTAGTGCTGAGATGCTGGAATAGACTGTCTGGAGAAGTTGTGGTTGCCCCATCGATGGAGTGTTCAAAGCTAGGTTCTGAAGTCCTGGGCAAAACTATCTACTCCCTGACTTAGTTGCTGACAACCCTGCCCAGCTCAGAGGGTTGGAACTAGCCAATCTCTAAGGTCCCTTCCAACTCAAGGCATTCTATAATTTTATGAATTTACTCACACCTTCCTGATTTTTGCAGAGTTTTGTAATTTGGAAGGTGATGTTTCCCTTGTGTGATCTTCCAGACTACACAATATAGCTCTTGACTGCGTGTGAAGCACACGAAATTTCCAAAGCACAGGGCCTGCCTGATGAGTATATTTTATAAGGGTGAAACTTTTCTGTAATCCTCAATGGTTTTTTACATCAGCCCTTTTCTATTAAGTACTCAAAATAATTTTCCTTCTTGTGAAAGTTACTTTCCAAGTCAAATTTTAGGATTGCTTAAAATGCAAACTTGGCTTTTCATTATATCCTCTCAATACAGGAATATGCTTAGTCCAAAAAGAAAAGAGTGATGATCTATGCTCACATAACTATGTTCACTGCTATAGAAGTGTGCTTGAGTGCAAATCTGCTTTATTATAAGTAACAAATAGAAAATCAGCTTTAATTTGTTATATTGTTTGTTGGAACAGCACATTCAGCCCTAGCCGTGTGCCCATACACATAAGATAAAAGAAAATTGTCTGTGAGAAAAGCACTGGACCAGAATACAGGAGGTTTTGTTTCACATCCTGTATTGGCTGTATGTTTCTGTGCTGCCTGATGGTTGTTGAGTCTTTTCAAGCTCCTTCCTCCCCATAGAATCTTGTTCCTAGCCCAGTAACTCCCTCAGCTGATGCTACTGTTTGTATGAGTGTACAAACCCTCTTCCTGGGCAACTGCGGCAGTTGGAGGATGTGATAACATTTGCTTCCTTCTGGCCTCCCAGTGCTATGGCTCTGTGTTTGTATATGTATGTGCACATCTGTACTCTTTCCCCTCTTACTGTACTGCATACAGAAAGGACTGGATTTTGGCCAAGTCTTCTAGCAGTGATCAACATCTTAATAACATCCAGGTACACGCATTTCCTTGCGGGTCTCTGAGGCTGGTTGGCCTCAAACATCCTTGCAAACAAAAAGGAAAAAACATTATTTTTATTATTTCTACCCTGGTGCTGCTGTATAAATGAACTGTCTCTTCCCCACATAAGAAAGTCAGCAGGGTGAACTACTCTTTTGCTTGGGGTGCTTTCCTTCCATATCTTTGTGAAAAACCTGTACCTATTTCATTGCCATAAAATATATTAATTATATTTAAATTAAAAATAGCTTCAAGGATTTCATTTTTGTTTCCACTATTTGTCTTACTTGAGGACTTGTTTAAAATACTGCACCTGACCTTATCAACACCTTGTGCTTTATATGCTGAGAAAGAAAAAAACAACAGCTGCTGACAGTTTGAAATGGTTCATATGTGGAGGGTCTATTTACAGAGTGTGCTCCCACAGCTGCAAAGCAAATTCAGGTTAGTGCTGTGGATGGCTCGAAGTTAGAATGTGGAACTTTGACTTACCCACTACGTAGTCACAGCAGGAAATAACTAGAAAACAGAACAAAGACATTCTTAGATGTCTGGAAAGAGGGCATCTCTTGTCTGCAGAGGTAGACACAGTGGATAGTGTGTCTGCAATTATCCACTGCCTTACAGACACTGGGCAATATCTTGCTGAATGCACTTACGCCAGATGAGGATTTACCTGCTCCATGCAAACATACGTGTCAACAACCTTATCAAGAAACAGCTTTCACTTCTGCACTAGAAGGCACCAGATATAGCGTACTTTTAAGCCAGCGAGAGGTCTGTATGCATACCGTCTGTATGCACTTCAGGAAGGTGAGGGGGGGAAAAAAAATGATTTCACAGGTAGAGATTTCTGCTGTTACATGGAATTCAGGAGTCAGATCTCACAAAAAAAAAAAAAAAAAAAAAAAAACAAACCCACAAAACACCTAAACTCTTCCTACTCTGCATTGTTTATAGAAGGGAACTGAGACAAACCAGAAGTTGAGAGAAGAATGAGGTTTAGAAAACAAACCCTGCTGTAAGACACAACCTTCATCTGCTATCCTGGAACTGCCTCTGCTTGGCAGCTGAGACTCAGATGCAATCCAGCATGAAAAGGCCCAAGTATGGAAAAACTTTCATCTTGACAGTAATAATGTTGTATGGGTGAACCCCATACAACCATCTAAACCATAGGCTATTTGTAACACAGAACATAAACTATGAGTTGGAACTTTTTTTTCCTCTCTCCATGAAAAAGAGTCAGTATCTTTGTCCTTGCAACTCTCTGCAGCTCAGACACAGCTGTGCTGATGTCAGAGGCAGTGGAAGCCAATACTTCAGCCCAAGTTGGGCTGACTGCGGGGTGCCAAATGTTGTTTTTTCTGTTGTGTTTTTTTTTTTTTTTTTTTTTTTT